CAGATACTTTTTATGTTTTTCCTTTGTGTTTTGACTTTGCTTGCAGTATTTTCTTGATGCAAAGTCTTAAAATTTTTTTCTGTAGTTGTGTTTATTTTGCATCATAGTTAGGGAAGTTTTCCCTTTGTGGCTTGTGTTTCTTCTAGTACTTTTATAACTCTTATTTCTTTTTACACATTTATCAATGATCTATTTGGAATTATCCTACCATACAGATGGGCTAAAATTTGAATTAAATTTTAACTTTTATTTCATCGTGTCTGTATCTTAATTCCCAATATCGTGTTGTTTTAACTGTTGTGATGTCTTGGGATGTGCTTTGTTCTCTGGCAGGGCTGCTTTGCACAGCCTGTCTCTAGCAGCTTTCTCTTCTCTTGTTTAGGAATACTCATGAGTTATCATTCTTCTTGCTCATGTAGATCTCATTATTCACTTGATTATTATTCCTGCTCGTGTCCATCTCCGTCAATGGAATGGTGGCCCAGCTCCCCCGTCCTCTGTTGGGATGATGCTGGGGCATGTTGCACTTCTCAGTTCCCAGCAGGATCATAGCCGGACCGCTACACTGTTCCTCTTCTCACTGACACCACTGGTATTGACTTTTCTCCCTGCCTGGTCCCAATTTTCCACTTGCACCTCCGCCAATTACCTTCCAAGCATATTATGGGTCTGCTTTTGGAGAATCCAGACTAAGAAAGAGTCACTTCTGGGTTTTGACTTAGTTGTAGAACACACCAACCACACTTCCGAGAGCAGGTTGTGTCCTATATCTATCAGGTGCACACCGTGACGTTTGTTATAAATATGCATCATGGGCTGAGCGCCAGTCGAGCTGATCCACATATCCATTTCTTCACATAGTTACCTTTTTCTTAAGACAGTGAGAATACTTAAGACTTGGTCTTTTAGCAAATTCCAAGGATGTAGTGCAGTGTTACCTATTAACTATCCTCCCCGTGTTGAACATCAGATGTCTGCAGCCTGCTCACCCTACATGCCTGAAATTTGTGCTCATCGGCCAGCACCTCTCCTTCCCTTCCTCCATGCTGACCACTGTTTTTATTTTCTAGTCTCTGTAAATCAGATGGTGCAGTATCTTCTTTTCTATGTCTGGCTTATTCACTTAATGTCCTCCAGGTTTGTCCACATGGTCTCACATGGGAGAATTTCCTTCTTTTTAAAGGTTGACTGCTATTCCATTGTGTGTGTGTATACACAGAAACAGAATCACAATTTGTTTACCTATTCATTTGTTGACTGACACTTGAGTTGTCTTACCTATCTCAGCTATTATGATTAAAGCTGCCGTGGACATGGGTGTGCAGATAGTGCATTTTCTTTGAATATATGCCCAGGATGGAGCTTACTGAATCATTGTATTTTAGTCATTTTTCCTTTAACACTTGCAGTATTTCTCAGTCTTTTTGGTTGCTGTTTGATTAGATATGATGCATACTTAGCCTGTGGACTTTTGTTCCAACTTGAAAGATTTTTTCTGGTGAAACACAGTGGCAACTTTTCCTAGTTAATAATTAGCAGCAATTTCTGAAGGATGATTAAATAAAATTGAATTTTTGATATTTCCAAATAGATTAAATGGGTTACTTTTTTACTTATAAGGTCAAAGAATAATATAAAAACTTGATGTTCCTCAGCCACATTACTTTCTTTTTTGAATGCCATTTCTAAAAAAAAAAAAAAGAAAATGAAACACTTTAAACTTAGCGGTTTTATTTTTTTCTTGTTCTTTTTTACTGAATCCCTCACTCTGCCCACAAAGCCTGAGGATGTAGGTAAGAAATTTACTTGTACATCAGCTAAGGCAAGACCAAATTAGGGTAATTTTTATTTTTAATCTTGCTTTCTTTCAATTTAATTCTTCAGCTTTTTCTTTTCTCATTAGTTTATATAAAATGGTCCCAACTAACCTTTCTAGAATTCGTATTTGGTAGTCATGGTAGTGAGTCTATAAGCAGAGGCAGCTCTGTGCATCACACCTAGAAATCGGTCAGTGCCCTGTGGCGGGATAGTAAGTGCTGCAGGGAGATACAATTTGGGTTTTAAGTGTTCATATTTCCTGCAAATGTGGTTACTTTATGGTAATGTTGGAATGATAGAGATGAGTTGTCACTTGTCTGGAAGCTTTGGGTGCCCAGCAGACCTCCCAGCCAGATGGTGAACATCGTTAGGGCATGCAGGACGCTGTCTCTTGCTTCATCTGTACACCAGGCCTGATACCCAAAGCCTGGCCAAAGCCGTGTCAGCCTGGAGGAAGGGACGATATTTATTTTTCTTCCATCCAAATGGGGAAGCATTTTGAACTTCACCTGTCCAGAGGGGGTATCTTTTTATAATCCCTCTGGCCTAGAAGGAACATCTTTTTGTAATTTGCGAGTTTTTTGAGGGGGGAGGCTGGGGCTGGGTTTGAACCCACCCACCACCTCCGGCATATGGGGCAGGTGCCTTACTCCTTTGAGCCACGGGCGCCACACTCTTTTTGTAATTTGAACAAAGTTTCTCTGAGCATCACAGGCTCCGAAGCTGTGGTCTGGGCCTGACTCAGTTTGATAACCCCCTACGATGCCTGCTGTAATACCGGAGGACCTGAGCGGAGTGGCCGTTTCCGAGGTCTCTGTCTCTTTCCCATTATAACAACTGTTCCAAATCCTGTTGATTTCGGTCTCTTTAATGTCGTTTCTCTCTAGGTTTTCCTTTTCACTGCCATTACTTCTCCCAAAATTCAGATCCTACTTATTTCTCAGTAGGACAGTTGCAAAGATCCACGAGTGAACTTTTAATTTTTTCCTGTCCATCCATTTGACAAATAGTTCCTGTCACTTTCTAATTGTCAGGCACAGGAACAGCCCCACCTTAGATTCGTCACTCCCTGACTGGTATTTCTTAGTCTGCTATAGAAATGATCACACTACTGTCTGGTATGGACATTTTCAGAGACTCTACAGCTTCCAACTGAAGCCCAGACTCCTCAGTTTTTTACACAAGACCCTCATAATCTCGACCCAGGCCCTTTGGGTCTCACTGTTGCTGCAGTGACCCACTTTCCCATCAGCATTTATTGATGTTCCCTAAATACATCTCAAGAGTTTTCACGTTTGTGCTTCCCCCACGGCATTCTGACACGGAAAGGCAGGCTCCTTGTCACCCTGCCGGCTACATCCCTGCGTCTTTTCATGCTCGACTGTTACCACTCCCTACAACCCTCTTTGGTTTCTCACCTAGGGATCCCACAGCACTGCTGTCAAATACCTAAGCTCATTCTAAACCAGATAACAGTCATGCCCACGGGTCACTTCCACCAGAGAGTGCTTAGGAGCCCGAGGCCCAGTGGAGTGTTTTGGCCCCAGTGGTGATCACCTCAGTGCCCAGCCGTAAGGACTCCATAAGTGCAGTCTGTGTGAACACACACAGATGTCCTCTGTTTTGTATATGCTTTCTGGGAGGGAATTCATGATCTCATCTGAGTCAGGAGATCACCTAGATGTCAGTGTTGGACTAGCACTGGGAGCCGTGCTGACCACCAGCAAGCCCTCCGTGGCCCTACACTGCCCACCAGCTAATCCTCCCATTACTTCTCTAGTCTAAGAGGACAAACATTTAGTCTGGGGAAATGAGGTTTGTACTTGACACTTGTATCTAGAGAGCCAAAAATGGCAAATGTAAAGTCTAGTCAGTTAGGATTATTCCTAATTAACTAAACTTAATGAGTACGTCCCAAGCAAATATTGGTTGTAGTAAAGGCTTCCTGTTTTCGTCACACGACCTCTTTTCTTCTTGTTAAATATGCCGGATCCTTTTCACACTTTATGTGCTTAAATGCCACGTGTAGCTATATCCTGGAAAAATGTTAAAATACCAGGAGACGCAATAACCTCAATATTCTTGCTTTTCAGATGACTTCGAGATTACTCAGAAATTCGTAGAGGACAATATTGCATTCATGTGAGTTGTACCAAACCCTTTTTGATAAGGTTTACTGTAATCTTATCTGATACATCCTGGAAAAGTTAATGCTTCCCCAAAGTAATTTAAATTAAATGGAAACCATATCAAAAAGTAAATATAACATTAATT